ATATCTGTCAGAAAAATCGCAATTAGATTATTTCCCTAGATCCTGCAGCCCTAACACACACACTTGAAGCTCAGGCTGTGAGCAGCGAGCCCCGTAACGTCCCCCCAACACGTCACCCAGACCCCACGCAGCATTCTCATCTGTTTGTCTTTACTGGTGTCATTTTCTGGTTGCTAAAAAACGCCATTGTAACACATAAACACTGATGTTCAGCTGTAACGGTGGTAGACTCATCAGAACAGAGTGGGTGAGCTGACCAATCAGAGCACAGTGGGCTCACAGAGAGGGGGGGGGGCAGGAGCTCCAACAAGCCGTGTAGGACAGAGTGAATACACATAATATACAGAGATGCTGTATGAGAAACCAATGTGAGTTTGGAACATTGAACAATGTCAATCTGTTCTAGTAGACCTCAACAATGGAATTATGAAGAGTAGAAATGGCCATGACATGGGACCTTAACATGTTGAGTTGAACAGTGAGGTCAGAGGAAGGTAGATGGAGGATAAGAGAGATGTGACTAAAATCTTGTAAAACACTGGGATGCAGCTTTGCTACGTCCACGCAGCCTTTAGCTTGTTATCTGTGTCCTCAGGAATCCTCTCATCCTCTGTGTCACCAACACAGAGCAGCTTTAACAGGATCCACTGGCACTCATCCTATTGGGTCGCTGCCTTTAGCGGTGAGGATCATTTAAGTTTGAATAGGGTAAATCGGGCAATGACATATCCTTTATTGGAAACCCGGCAATTCAAACCTCAAAATACAATGAAGAGGCAGTTTTATGTTGATCAGTGTTTCCCCTATAGGATTGTAGGTGTGAGAACTCATCACATACATTAGCTCTGCTTGTTTCACTGATGCATTCAGATCCAGATGTCCGCTGACTTAAACCCTTCAACCGGTTTAAAGGATGTGTTTCTTATAAATGTGGTCTAAACCGGACAACAAGTCAATTCTTCACTGCTTTTGGCATACAAGCACAACAGAATGTTATGTTGATTAACATCCCTAGCTTTGTAAATGTTTTGACGTTTTAATTTCTTAGTTACATATTAAACCTTTTTGAAGCATTTAAAATAATGCTTGTAAAGTGCAGTGTAATAGCTGTGTGTGGCACATTACATTTAGCTGAATCTCTGCTAAACTTACCACACTGTAAAATAACCTCTTGACACACAGGTCACCAGTTCTTGGTTACCTGTACCATCTCTTACAATCAAGGAACATGCAACTGTTAATCACACAAAGCCTGGAGATATGAGTTTGTATAAAGCACTTTCAAACTGTTGCAAGCTAGTTTTGTCCCTATTTAGATCAAATATAATAAATAAAGAGGTTCACAGTGTTTTCCCTTTGAGCATGAGTGGGATCAGTCTGAGTGACAGTGGCTGCAGCTGCACTCTGATGCTCTGTTACACAGTCATTGCAGTGCCACTTCCTGCTGCAGTTGTTAACTGTGTGTGGCACAGTTACCCCCCCCCCCTCCTGCCCCCTAACTTTGTGTGTGTTTGTTTAAATGTATCTCCCCTCCCTCCCTGCTCAGTGTGTGTCCAGTCTTAGCTCTCTATATATAATTGTGTCTGTGTGAGTTGGTATCGGCAGTCTGGGGAGGGTCAGAGAGAGAGGACAGGGGGCTGAAGGGTGCTAAAGAGTGCTATTCTCCCCCAGGCTCAATGGGTGCTTTGTGCCAGTGGCCACAGTGGGCTGGGGGAGGGAGGGGCAGGGCAGCAGCACCCTGTCATAATGTTTTCAACACAACACACGAGAGAGGCAGGCAGGAGGTGTAAGGTCAACTACATGCAGACTCTTTCTGGAAAGTTGTCTTCAATATTTATGTGGCAAAATACTGAGAAGTAGAAGATATGTGGCGAGATGTGAGTCAGTCCACAGAAAGACATTCTTCAAGTTTTTGGAAATGGAATCATCCAAGTCATTTGTCATGCATAACTGTCAGAAACCTCTTTAACTGTCTCTCAAACACTGAGGGCTCCTGCTTCTCTCTGCTGTACATCAGATGACATGAAATGAAACAACTTAAACCTTTAAAGACATCCCCTTGGACTTGGAAGCTGTTATGGACATTTCAGAATCAGGTTTATTACTAAGTAGGTCCACACATATGAGGAATTTGCTTTGATGGAAATTGTGCATATACATAGAAAGAGGAATACGTTTTAAAATGGCAGCAACATTTTTTTTCTATTATAACAACTATTTGAATGATTATTGTTAGACAAAATATTAATATTACAAAAAACAATGAGGACATCACATCCAGTTGACATCAGCAGATGAATGAATGAATGAAACAAATAGTCATTAGTTGCAGCCCTAGTGAATCTGAAGTGAAGGACACATGCTGTTCATCAAAATATTGATCTTATCAGTCCATCTTTATTGCCAGTCCAAAAGTCAAATGTATTTAAGATAAGATATCGACTGGCATTCTGGCTTACTTCTTTGATTGAAGCAGATGAGTTTTGTCTTCGTCATTCAGTCATTATCAAGTGTATTCTTCCTGCTGGGAAAAGCGATCAACATTCCTTCTCTTACTCTTTCCTGCTTTCTTCGTCCTCATCCCTTCACCTTATGCATATTGTGTCTTAGAGCTCCATAATATTTTCATTGTTTTAATTGTAATTAAAACAAAAATAATAATTGAAACTCACTCATGGTTTCCTATTATTAGCTTGGAAGTTCTAAGAAGTCAAGTATTTTCATCTGATGGACGAGACAGCCCTTTGGTTACTGAGCATTGTGAAGCTCTTTCATTAGTCATGTAACACGTCAGAGAAAAGTCAGTGTTTTGACACGTTGATTTATGACAAGCCATAAATGACTGAGTGGCGTGACAAAGCTCCCCGCAGCCCCGTGCCTACATCTGTGCCACTAACTCATCACAATCAAATAATTCAGAACACATTTGTGAAGAATGTTGGCTAACCAGGAGCTGGAAGACATGGACTCCATGCAGCTTTAGATGTGTCATATTTCTTTTTCCAGATGTTTGTGATTCAGTACGCCATCATGACAGATGTTCATTTTGATTCTTGTCGAGGTTTCATATATTCAGGGGCATATATCTGTAAGGTCGGCAGTGTTTCTACATGAACATACGGGACAGGCTGTTGTACCTTTGTACGTGAGGAGGCTTTACTTTAGTTTTTTATAGTGGGAATGATGCTAATTGTGATTGTTAAAAGATACTTTATTTGTATGACTTATATTTAAAATTGTTCTTTGATAACTAGCAGTTCTGAACTATATGTATCGTGTTATAACATCTGTCTCCTCCCCATTTCTTCTGCCACTTCCTGTCTTATCAAAGCAACTCCCTGACCTTCCTGTTAATTCTCCTCTATTCTCGATTCAATGTAGTTTGTTGTCATAAAAGCTAGAACAACACCGTCCCAGGCTGTGAATAATCCCCACGTTTCTCCTGTTTGTGTGTTCAGACGTTCACGGCATGGTGCAACTCCCACCTGAGGAAGTCCGGCACGCAGATTGAAAGCATAGAGGAGGACTTCAGGGATGGGCTCAAACTGATGCTGCTGCTGGAGACCATTTCAGGTAACCCTCTGCCCCCCCCCGCAGCTCCACAAAACTCACTCGGAAAGTTTTTAATTAAACTGTGATAGCTGTAATAATGTTCCACACAGAAACCACAGGGGAAAGCTGTCCAGCCCACCACACACACACACACACACACACACACACACACACACACACACACACACACACACACACACACACACACACACACATACTTCACAGAGCATTTATAAGCAGCCTCTCTTTGAGCTGTCGATCACAGTGAAAAATGTTTTCAGATGTTTTAGATCCACAAGATCTCTATCCAAACCAGAGCGGGGTCACTCACAGTTTCCCGCCTCAGTATGGATCACACATCTCACCATCAGGAGAAGCACTGGGAACCCTGTCACTTTGTACGACAGTCTTCCTCCTGCATAGAACATACTAATTTGAGCTGCTTTGGTCTCATAATGAAATGTGGCTTCCTTTCACATTGAGCTGAGTCACACCATGGTGCCTGCTGTAGCTTTAACTGTCTGACAGTGTTGTGGTGCTGAGCCTGTGGAAACATGCTGCCTCCGTCACTACAGGAGCTACGTCGCTCACCTTCTGTGTGTGTGTGTGTGTGTGTGTGTGTGTGTGTGTGTGTGTGTGTGTGTGTGTGTGTGTCCACAGGTGAACGGTTAGCCAAGCCTGAGCGAGGCAAGATGAGGGTCCACAAGATCAATAACGTGAACAAAGCCTTGGACTTCATCGCCGGAAAAGGAGTGAAACTGGTCTCCATTGGAGCAGAGGGTAAGCATGTGTTCATGCACGCATATACAAACATGAAAAGAAGCCCCTTAAAAATGCCCATTGTTGATGTGCTGAGACACAATGAATGTAGTTATGAGTCCTGAAACTCATTCATCCACCTCACTCCTTTTAAACCTGATCTCAAGTCAAGATG